ACAGCAAAAATGATCAGAGATGTTTGAATCACAGAATTCCAGGCCCAAACCCAGACTGATTGGTGGGAGAATGGTGATCAGTGCTGCTACCCAACAGGAGAAAATGATGTTCTTGCAGACTCTGCTGTTCATGATGGTTGTAGTGCAGAGGGGTTTGCAGATGGCCACGTAGCGATCATAGGACATGGCAGCCAGAAGAAAAAATTCTGTTACTGCAAAGAGGTCTGTAAAGAAGACCTGACTGACACAAGCATTATAGGTAATGGACTTGTCCCCAGATAATGTGCTATATAGGAATCTGGGAACACAGGCAGTCGTGAAAGAAATTTCTAAGAAGGAGAAATTTTGAAGGAACAGATACATCGGTGTTTTTAGGTGGGAATCAATCAGAGTGAGGGTGATGATGGTTAGGTTTCCAGATATACTCAACACGTAGGAAAGAAATAGAAAGATAAACAGCAATATTTTCAGTGGCGTGTCATCAGTCAGTCCCAGCAAGATGAAGGTTGTTACTGTAGTTTGGTTTTTCATCCTTGATTATTGTCTTTTTCCCATTCTGCTTGAAACGATAAACTTAACTGGTTATCCTCTAACCTCAAGAGAAGTAAATCCGACAGTGATCCCAAAACAATTGACCTGTGGGGAATCAAGCATCTAATACATGCCTCTGTATCATACAAACTGTTTCTATTTAAGTCACTCTTTCACACTGCTGCAACTTAGCTGTAATTGTTGTCATTTGATCATATTATATTATAAACATTTGAGGCCTGGTGCACAAAATTTGTGCATGGGGTAGGGGGTTCCTTCAGCCCAGCCTGCACCCTCTTTAACTGGGGACCCGGCAGTCGGACATTCCTCTTGTAATCTGGGACTGCTGGCTCCTAACCGTTCTCCTGCCTGCCTGCCTGATTGCCCCTAACCACTCTGCCTGCCTGCCTGATCACCCCTAAGTGCCTCTGCCTGCCAGCCTGATTGCCCCCAACTGCCTTCCCTTGCTGGCCTAGTCGCCCCCAACCTCCCTCCTCTAACAGCTTGATTGCCCCTAATCCCTTGCTGGCCCGATCTCATCCCCAACTGTCCTCCCCTGCAGGCCTGATTGCCCCTAACTGCCTCTGCCTCTGCCCCACCACTATGGCTTTGTCCGGAAGAAAGTTGGATGTCCAGAAGATGGCCTGTTGATCCAATCTAATTAGCATATTACCCTTTTATTGCTATAGATTATATAGGATAGAATTGCTTAAATGGGGGGGGGTGAGCCTTTTTCAGCAAGCTAGCCATATGCACTATGCTGCCAAACCAGTTATTAAAATATTGAACCACTTTCTTACACCTTACACCAAACAGCTGTTGCCCTTAAAACCCCTTCTCAGCTCCCCCCATAGGTTCTGCCTTCCCAGTTCATCCAGATTAGGTTCTGATTGGTCGGTTTCTATGCCAGTCAGCATTAAAAGCTCCACCTCCTAGGCAGCCATTGGCTCTTCTGGGAAATCCAGAATGGCCTGCTGACAGCTGTCTCTCTCTTTGGACCTATCTCTGGGCCTGATCTGCAGCTTCCACAGCTGCTGCTGATCAGGCCCTGCCTCTCTCTTTCTCCAGGCCTTGCCAGGAGCCATGGCGGCTGCTGATCAGGACCTGCACCTCTCTCCAGGACTCTCTCTGGGCCTGATCCACAGCCACCGCCACTGCAGCAGCAGCAGCAGCAGCAGCAAGGTCGTTAGCCCTCCAGCTGGCCCTGGGTCATAGGCTAATGACTTTGCTGAGCCCATCTTGTCCTGCCCGCCTGCCCCTGCTGCCAGACTTGTGGGACGTGGGGAGGGACCGTGAGGTGGTCCATGCACTTCCTGGTGACCGGTCCTCTGTCTAGTCATTTAGGTCCTGACGGTCCTAGGCTATTATTAGTACAGATTGGAAAACAAGTCCTAAAAGTTACTTTTGGATCTACTATTCTTTCTTCCTCTTACTTTCTAACTTCAGACATGTTTCTAGCAAAGTCCCCCTCACCCCAAAAACCGAACAATGGTCTTTGTTAAGAAAATTATTGCATTAAAGTTTACATTGTATTAGCAATTAAACTGACAATAAATGCTTATCGCATAGTTTATTCTGTTTTATCCTATCTAATGCAGTTTCTCTGAGGTGTGTTTAAAACATTTTTACTGGATACATGTTCTTTTTTTTAAAAAAAGAAGTTATTGTTTTTATTTATTTAGTTATTATTTTTTGAAATCCTCACCCAAGGATACTTTTCCATTGATTTTTTAAAAAGTGGAAGAGAGAAGGAAAGACAGAGAGAAACATCCATGTGAGAGAAACACATGGATTGGTTGCCTCCTGCATGCACACAACTGAAGTACCCTTGACCCGAATCAAACCCGTAACCCTTTGGTCCGCAGGTTGACACTATCCATTTAGCCAAATTGGCTAGGGCTGAATACATGATCTTAAACATTTATTTAAATGTGTTACAGTCCAAACTTTTTGAGGTTTTCCTCACAGAAATTTTTTTCATTTGTCTGTATTTTATATCATTAATGTTATTTTTGGCTATATTTTACTTCTACTGTTAGCATATCAACGTTATACATTTTTATGCTTTTTAGAATAGTCTAGCGCCTCCAAGAAATTTTTCCCCAGTGTAAAAGCAGAAATCTGGAACTGTATACTCTGGTTAATTTCTTTTTAAATTCCTCTGACAGTAAAAACCCTCCTTTAACTCTCTGCTATAGTTTCATATTCTTTAGACTTAAAAAAGTTTTTTACTACTAGCCTTCTAGTTAAGACCAGATTATTTTTATATTAAATATATTGTTCTTTATGTTTTTCCACTATTTCCTTCTAAACGCATTTGTCAATGACATATTTTCACTCCTTGAATGTATTGCAGGAATTACATTCTAAATTTATGACAGACAAATAAGGGGACATTTAGCGTATGTTTAAAGAGAAATAACCTGATTTTTTAATGTTTTTGGTCAACCTATTTTAGCTTGAAATACACTCTACCACCCATTATGAATGACATTGAACACTATCAGGTTTAACAAGGGTTAGCAATTTTTCAAACATACTTCAACATTCTCTCTTAAATTTCACATACTTGATAATTGTCTTCTATGTCTCATTAACCACTTATACATCAACTCATGTGGTCTTTGCATCATTTAAACTGCTCTAGCCAAGGTCATCACTAGCTTCCCTCTTGTTTCAATCATTAAACAAACTTCAGAATTGATTTAACTCAAATTCTCTTCTACATATAAATTGTGAATTTATGAAAGTATTTACGGCTTAATTTCTACCATCTCACATTATCCCGAGTTTCTTCCTCTCACTTTATCTATATTTTTCCATTCTCCTTCTAGCAGCCCTTTCTTTTCTAATTTCTAGGGTTGTTGGTGCACCTGAAAGCTTTTTTTCTAGGCAATATTTTCTTTCACTCTGCTCTCTCTCTAGGAGGTCCTAGTACATAAGGTGACTTCAAATAGGCTGATGATTCCTAAATTTATATCTGCAGGATTCTGACTTCAACATTAACTTGTTCTTGGACATCTAGATCAGACTTAGAGAGTTTAAATTAGTGTAAATGTATATTTCCTTTTTCCTACCTGAGAGTCCTTGAGCAATTTGATTAATTTCTTTATCTTGTGTTTCTTTTTTATTTGTATGTGTATGCATGCAAACTTCAGATAAAATAATATGTACATCTTAGGGTTATAATGAAAAATTTAGATAATATAGATAAAATATGTATAGCCACATCTGAAATGAGGTGGACATTCATTACTATTCACAGTACTGGGCATTCTTATTTTGTTATCTTATTATTTCCTATCAATTGTCCTCCAAATGTGCACATTTCATGATTTTTAACATGGCACTCATGACTATTTTTTCTTCCCTGTCGATAATAAGTCTCATATAAAAACATTATTTACCATTCTTTTTTCTTTACTCCCATTTTCACTTTATCACCATGTCTTGACATTTCTGGTATCTTTTTAATTTGTTCTTTTTTTCTTTAACATATTTTTATTAATTTCAGAGAGTAAGGGAGAGGAAAATAGAGATAGAAACATCAGTGGTGAGAGAGAATCATTGATCTGCTGCTCCCTGCACATCCTCTACTGAGGACTGAGTCTGTACCAAACCAAAATCGTGACCTCCTGGTTCATAGGTTAATGCTCAACCACTGAGCCACCCTGGCTGTGATGATTTGTTCCTTTCATTCTCTCACTCAGAACTCTACATTTAGTCTCGGTGTCTTTATCTTATAGCTTAAATATTGTAAAAACATGTGAACATACGATTAACATATATATTTGCTTTTCCCATTCATTATTTTAAAATCAATGCAATCTGAATCATTTTTTTTTAAAGCCCAGATGTGGTTATCTCTCGCCTATGTATTGTGGAAAACATTTTTGAACTGACATACATCCCATGGTATGTATTTCCTAGAAACTTTTGTTCTATCTCTCAGTTAAATGGAATATAATTCATTTTGACTTTAGGTAAGAATTAAGAAGAAGAGAAAAATGAATACAGTCATGAGTTTTCAGTTTCAAATGCATTAAACATTTAGATTAATCAAATACTTCAGGCAATACATATTTCATTCAGAGTAGTGACTAAGGACAAAGTTTCTCATCCTTAGAGAATTCATAAACTTTCTTTATCAGGGGATAATAGAGTTGGAGGATAGGCTAAAGGGGTAGTGATTCTAAATAAGATCTCTATATTTGGGGACCTTTGTTATCTTCCACTAATATGGAGCCCGAGTAGCAGAAGGAAAGAAAAATAAGAGAGATTTCTACAGTTTCTTTTCCTTGTAGAGGTGTGAGGGAAACAATAATAATAATTAAGTTGCTCATTGAAAACCCTTAGAAAGTCACATAGTTTTCTCATTGTAAACATTGGTATAGAATTAGAAGGGTGTTCTTATGTCCAGCGTGACATGAAACTAAATAAAAAAATTGGATACTTGATAAATTTTCCTGTACTGCAATTTGCCACAAAAATACTAAATGGGTCTTATAACTTATACAGAGAACTACTGGGACTTAAGAGTAACATGGGAAAAGGACACAAATGATCCAGGACAGTGAGACACGTGAATAGATGTTCGAGGACCAGAAGAGATGATGGATACTGACATCTTTATTTCTTAACACAGTGGAATAACGTAGGTGTTCCAGAATTACCATGAACCTGGGTTGAGAGAGGCAGCACAGATAGATGTAGATGATTCACTAGAGCAAGGTGGTGGAGTTAGGGAGGACTGATATTAAGTTAATAAAAAAAATTTTTCTTTTCAGAGTGTAAAAGGAGTTTTGTAACTGTAACATTAATTTTAATTCTTTCAATCATCCCTTTTTGCCCTCATTATAAAACTTAAGCTTCTTAGCATATGGAGATCTTTCTAATATTTTCAGTATCAGTTCACACAATTTACCTCATGTCTTGTTCTGTCCTACGAAGATACTTGCACTAGCTGCCCGCGAGAGATAGGATACCATAGTGATCAAGAG